AGTGACTAGCAGATACATACAGATGCATGGATTATATATTTTTATGATATACCAAAATTATTTGAGCCTAGCACCTACCCAAACTTGGTTAATCGTGAAAAGCTAAGAATAGTTGTTCCTGGTTAGGACTTGGATGGAAAACTTTCTGGACATATATCTGGGCTGTATATTAGACTGGAAAATCTAAAAACAATTTTGGAAGAAGAAATGGTAATTACTTCTAAATTTTTGACACTCATGATAAGATTTTAATATTGTTTATATAATAACATACAGTGTTGTTGCAATAAGTCTCCATGGACAGAGGGATGAATGTAATTGCCTTAATTTTTTTATTTTTCTTGTATTTAATTTTAATTAATTTTTTATTTTTTATTTACCTGTTTTTTAAGTTAAACTGTTTTATAGGTACTTACAAATAACTTATGGACACATTTCTTGTACTAAACTGAGACTGCAATAAAATGAATAACGTATTTAATTTATGCAACACAACAAAGGAAGATGACTTACTGATGCACATTTATCTAGAATGTGTTCAGGAATAAAACCCAAACCAGCCGAACATGTATATGATTGAAGGTTTAAATATTCCAGATTATTTTAAATCAGGAGTGTCTGATGTTACAGTATTCAGTTACAAAATATAAAATGAAATGCTAACAATAGGGCTAGATTGTTACAATAAGATAGGAGAAATTTCCAAAAAACAACAACATTGCAACCATCTTGTTTTTCCTTGTAATTCCATTCTATTCTGGTTCTGCATTAAACTTTTATTAAAATACATGTTTCAATAGGTAGTAGATTGAAACCAAGTTTATAAATACAAGTGTTTTCTTAAAATAATGTATTTTAAATGTGTATTATGATAATTTCCATCAGCTAAATGCTGCATTGCTACCTTTAAAGTAATATAAAATTTAGTGGACAACTGCATTCTGATTTACATATTAGTTAAAGAGGTTCTGGTGTTAGTATTCCAGAATTCCCAGCCAATGAGGGGTGAAAAGAACATAAAAGTTTGCCATTTTGTGCAATTTATTTTATCGCAACACTTGAAAAAATAATGTTGAGGTTTCAAAAAACTGATTTCACAAGCATCGCTACAGGTTCTGTGGAGCTAGAAGTCCTTAAACCAAGACTATACTGCAGAAGTGAAAATCAAAACTACAACTAGAGGAAAAATTGGCACAGTATGCAAGAGATCTGGCTAGCTAAACCATAAACTATTGCTATTACTTTCAGTAGGAAAGCCACATTAACTGTCAAATAATGGACTTTCCTCTTCATTCCCCATTCTTAGGTTACTCATGGTTTTCCTCTGAACAATTCCAGTTCAACTGAATAAATGGTAACTGGTTCCGTTAATTGAGAAACAGTAGTTTCTCCAATAAACCTAATTATTGGTGTGTGTGTGTGTGTGTGTGTGTGTGTGTGTACATATATATATATGATGTATAGGTTCACCACACAAGAAAATTTGGCAAGCACTGGCAGTTTAGTTCACTTTTAATTAACTTACCCAAAAGAAGCAGGGACTAAATAGGAATGAAAACCAAATGATTATTTCTGTATAGTTTTTACAGATTGCTCTTATTCCATAAAACATGTTAGCTGTGGGCATCCTGCTGTGGAGGCACCAAGTTATCTGTACCAACTCTAACCAGCATCCTTGTATCCTACAAATTGAAGAATAGAAAAATTAAAATGGCCAAACTACCACCAAAGTATCACCAAATAGACAGCCAGTTTGGTCTAGTGGTGAAGGCACCAGGCTAGAATCCAGGAGACGATGAGTTCTAGTTCCACCTTAGGCATGAAAGCCGGCTGGGTGATTTTCAGCCAGTCATTCTACCTCAGCCCAACCCCACAGGGTTGTTGTTGTGGGGAAAATAGGAGGAGGAAGGAGTATTAGGTCTGTTTGCCACCTTGAGTTATTTATAAAAATAATAAAGGTGGGATTAAAATAAAATCTTTAAAAAAAATTACCAAATCTGGCCAAAATTTCCCCAAAGAGTCAAATCTGATGAGATTTCAGCATGTTTGCATGGGATCTCAGATTCTGAGTGACTCTTAAAAAAACCTAGAAGGGCTTTGATATCACCTAAGACTGAATACTAGTCCCAATGCCTGAAAAGATTATTCATGAATGGTGATAGACTCTAAATAGCTTTTCTTTAGCTCAGCATCACTCAGCAAGCTCTTCCTTAGAGTTTTCATTTTAATTTTTCCTACATTGTTCATTTGAGTCCTATGAGAAAAATAGAAATTTTTTTATGATGGCAGTATGGCTCTGTATAATTTTATTTATTCATGCAATTTATCTCTCACCTCAATTCTCAAGAATACTAGGCTATGTAATTCATTGCTTCAAATTATAGGCTGACCTTCCTCTCCCCACTTATCTGTCATATCAACAGCTGATAAACTCCGTCATTCTGAGAACTAGCCAATGTCGTTAAAGATTTAGCAAAATTGCCAAAAAGGAGCCACTAATGCACCAAGTTCCATTCCTATCAAAATGGCTGTTGGTTATCCTTCTTCATATCTGGTCTTTGTGATACTCTAAGTATAAACTTCCCTACATAACCAATCCCCCAACCTCCTAGAATTGCTATAGGAAGATTAATTAGAAAATTTTCATGCAATCTCACACCCAGGTACTGTAAGTTCAATGAACTCAGTAAGATTTATATATAAGTAGATTAATCAGGAGTCTGGAAACACCTGGTAGTGTCTAAGCAGCTGGCAACATCCAGAGCAAAGAAGAATCAGGTCAGGTTAGTGTGTGGGTGGCAGATTATAAGGAAATACCAAGATTATAGGCTAGACAGGGAAGTTAAAAAACAAACAAACAAAAAACAAGCATCGCAGTAGCAAAACATTTCTGTATTGCTGCCAATATGTCCATCAAATCACCAGGAGTCAAACTAGATTGTAGGACATCTTAAGCTTTAGCTATAGATCAACTTTAAGATGTGTGGACTTCAACTTCCAGAATTCCTTAGCTAGTCCCCATACTGTACCTTAAAGTTGCCAAGTTTGAGAAACCTGCTGTAGACCATTATCCAATGTTTACATAGAAAAATAAACATTTTTCCTCATATGATACCTATTATATAATCATCAGCAACTCAGTTCAGTCTGAGGGCAATCTGAGAACACTGTTAACATAAAGAGAGTGTTATCTGAAAACAGCAACAAGAACAAAAACGATGTCTTTAGTGGAAAGTAATCTATGGGACTAAAAAAACAGCAGAAATAAATGAGATTGAAAGCATGAACTGGTATAAAGAAAAACATAATAGAAGATGTCATTTTTTGCAACTGCAAATTGCCAGAAATGAAATATGCAATTTGATACTCACAAATATGGATACAATCCATTATGTAGCTTTATTTTTATTTTATTTATTTAAAGAATTTATATGGCATCTTCTCTCACACAGTGATTCTAGGCAGCTCACAGCAACCAATAAAAATAACAACATAAAAACCCATCAAGGTGTCGGAACCCCTCCAACTGTCAGTCCACTGACTTAGCCCCCTCCTAGCCCAACGCTGGGGGAAGAGCCTTCTGGAAGGGTAAAAGGGTAGTGGTCCCCTAAATCTCATGTGGGAGTCTATTCCAAAGAAACAGGGTGGCTACAGAGAAGGCACACCTCTGAGGCCCCACTAGGTGATAACATTTGAGGGAAAGGATCTGTAGTGCACCCACCTCTATCTAGTGGGATGGACAGATATCCTTAGGGAGAGGCAATCATAAATAAGCAACACCTTGAATTGCATCCAGAAAGCAACTGGGAGCCAGTGTAGCTCATGCAACAGTGGTGTAACATGAGCGAACTATGGAGCAACCAGAACTGCATGCCTCACTGCATTCTGGACCAGTTGCAGCTTCTGGATGGTTTTCACGGGCAGTCCCACATACAGCATGTTGCAGTAATGGCATGATTGGTGCTGAAGGTGGATTTGCGCAAAGCCCCCCCCCCCCCCGGCTGCAACCTCCTTTTCCAGCAGGAGCTGCAAGTTCAGGAGGACCCCCAAATTGCATACCAGCTCTATCTGGGGGAGTGCTACTCTGTCCAGAGTAAAAGGTGTTATCTCTCCTGACCCTGGGATAGAGAGATAAAAATCCACAAACACTCTGTCTTGCTAGGATTGATTTGTAGCCATTTTTTCCTCAACCAGGCCCTTACAGCCTCCAGGCATTGGGGTAGAGATGTATAGTTGATATCATTAGTGCAGCCCTGCCTATTTTTAGCTTATAAGGAGATTTAAAATGCATGTTAGGAGTGTTACCTCATTAAAACAGTCAATTCAGTTTAGAATATTGACCCCAATCCAATGATTCAAATTAATTTGTGAAAAAGTATTTCTAAATCATCAAATTGATTAGAAGACATCTAATGTGGCACAACATTTGATTAACCTTATAATGAAAATTGGAAAGTCAATTCCTTTGAATCCAATCTCCAATTCAAAGGTTAGTACAGCCCTGGGACATACACAGAGTGGAAGGCTATGTGCCTTCTTGCCACAAGAGGGGTCCCATGTTAGGCTGATAGGAGAGAGCTGCCTCCAACTTCAGGTCCTTATCTCAGTCTTTTAAGAGAAAGAGGCACCTTGGCTGTAGTTCAGAAGCAGATGGAAACAATATCGAACATGGCAATAAACTGCAGATTTTTTTTTAGCCTTTTACCAATATTGACAATTCTAATGGACATTCTGCTTATTAGAATTTTTCTACATGTACAAGAAGGACTTTGTAGAAAGAACAGACGTAGAGGGGAGCAGACACAGAAGCGATAGAACTGGAGTGAGTGAGTCCTTAATCTACTTACCATATTCATACACATGGCTAATTTTAAATTCTATTTTGTAGGCCTATATCATTATACGTCGAGTTATTAAAATGATCTTCAAAAGATGAAACGGGAACATCCTTCATCATTCTTGGTATATGGTCCTAGAAGCCATAACTAAAATATTTGGGTTCAGTTCAGCAAAATTATACAATAACTTATTGCTCCCGCTAATGAGTTAATCATAATGAAGACCTCTTCTCATTACTTTTATAGATATGCAGTCATACTTACTGCTGCATTACTCAAACAGTTTTGCTCTCTGTTTGTTTTTCAGCTTTTATTTATAATCACCATTTCCCCATTCACCACTCCTGCTATCATATATGCAAACTGAACAAGAATTAGAAACATGCTTTTCATAAATGAAAACTGGAAAATTTCTAGAACTTAGAAAGAGGCTTTAGGCCATAGAGGATATGCCATATGAAAATCAATCATAACTATGCTTGAAATGAAAACAAACAAACAAACAAACTATACAATTCATTGTTGCCTTGCTTATCAAAACATCAGCATTTTGAACTCACTTAAATACCCCCAATTACACTAAAATATACAGTACAAGCATAGTCCATACTTGATTAATTGGACTAAACGATGAATATGATTGTCAGATTGTCTTTCAATTGAAGCTTGGTTCATAACGATACAATTAAAATTCAACAATTAAGTAATTTTTTTTTAAAAAATGCATCTAAACAGACATCAAATATATAACTTACTAAAAGCATTTTAGCTCATTTCCAGTCTCAACATCCCCCTTTGTTAGGTCCAAACCCCCAAATGCTCTCTTGAATGGATTTTTTTTGGGGTGTGTGTGTGTGTGCGATAATATTGGTTTTCCCATCAGGACTCAGCAGTGTGCCTGGGAACTCGGTAATGATCTGATTTGATACGTGCTTTCTTCTCTTGTGGATTGGCATACTTCCACTTGGAGGGAGACATTTTCAGCTTTTTTCTCTTCTTGTCTGTGCACCACACCTTTTCACAGTATTCCTCCACTCTCTGGAAATTGCTGTAACCTATTAATTGTAAGAACTCTTTGTACCATGGCTTTGATCCATGGGGGATGCTACTCTGTGCAGGACAGGGCATTTTCTGAGATATGTCCTCTTCATAGTCTTTATTGAACATGTCATCTACACGTTCCTCTTCCACAACTTCAAGAGTGATTTTTCTTACTGTATGAACAATACTGTGTTCTACTGTCTGACAAAAATATGTTCCAGCATCCATCCGGTGCAATCTTAAAAACAATAGGCCAATATCCACTTTGAGGATCCTCTCATCAGCCTTTACCTGTGTGCAGGTCAAAGAGGAAACTGTTTTATCCGTAAGAATGTTTAAAAAAAAAATCAGATTGATGAAAGTTAGACTGACTAGCAATAAATGAATAAAGTAAGAAATTGATTACATTTTGATACAATTGCAGACTTCTGTCACTGAATTTGGTTTAGGAGAAGAGTCTGCTATATGTATCAGTAAAATTTAGAAAACTTTGAATAAAATTCAGGGATGTTAATTTCAAATAACTTGGGACACAATCCAGCCCAAAGTTAAGCACTTGAAAGTATCACTAGTTTTACTGATTTATTTACACAGTTAATTTCTGAGTTCATTTTTTGGTCTAGAAAATGCCCTCAACATGGGGGAAAAAAAAAAGATTTAACTTCCTCATTTAAAGTAGATATGAACACAGATCTGTGAGTCATGAGTCAGGCACCAATTCTCCAGAAAAGCTGGAGCGATACCCTATTTGAGTTATCTTCCTTCCATTCAGAATGCTTCATATATATGTTGCATTTATGTTCAAGTAAGAAACAGCTGTGCTGAATGCTGATAAAACTATTTGGGGAGAAATATTAATGGAAGTGTGAAAGATGTAATCACAAACTCAGTGAGACTAAAGAAATGTATAATGCTTGTAATGCTTCTTTCATAAGAATACATCATACAATATAAGCATTACTTAATTTTGGGGGGAGGGGAGGGGTTCTTCAAGCAATGACACTTTCTGAGCTCAACCTGATAAAACATTCAACGTAACAAGGGAAGGCATAGAAGAAATTAGGTGTGTGCAGAGATTCAGTTTCAAAGGGCAAAATGCAATTGACTTTCATATGCGAGCATTAGTTGCATCTGTTGGGAACACCTGAAGCTGCTGCATCTTCTCCTGAGCTCACAGGGACATGTGATCCAGCAAGAAGATGCTTACTAACAGATTATCTGCACACATCCCTGTACTCCAAATTATATTTTGCTATTTGAAACTAGATATCTGCACAGCCTTAGAAGAAATAATATTACTAAAATAAAAGCCTATGAAATCAATAGTAGGCCAGGACAATTATAAGACTTCACTCTTAATTCCAAGTACCTCTTCTTTTCGGGGTTCATGAGCTCTCTGCACAAACCAAATCACTTTGGCTTGCAGGGTTCTTGGGATACACTCAAGCAGAGTGCTATTGTATTCTATCCCATACACCAGTCGCTCTTCAGTCTTGTCCAAGGCTTCTCCTATAGATAGGAAGATACACAGCTCTTATTCTCACTTACACTAGTTTCTAAAAAAAAAAGGAATTTTACTTTTAATATACAAAGTAGAAAATCTCCTTTATTAGGTAGCAACTAAGGATTCAACAAAGAGGTCATTCCTTGTATACTGTATTTTTGGGGTGGCCACCAATATGGAAAATATTCTACAGGGGCAGACTCTTCTGGTTTTCTTATATAAACAGTGAGCACATCCACACAGCCACTTTGCCATTCTTATCTCCTATCATAGAGCTAGCAGGAAATCATGCCAGCAGACATTTACACTGCCCCCCCCAGTGCACATAACATCTTGGACTGGGGCCAAGCTATGCCACTCTTTGTACAGCTCCTCCATGTGACACTGTAAGGTTAGACTCTGGTTTTTCTTGCCTGAAATTTGAACACAAAGTAGGAAAGTGTACAGTGTACAGAATTACCCCAATTACAGTGTACAGAATGTACACTGTGTTGTGCTTCTAAGGTCTATATATTTCATCCAATCAATTCTTTTTCTATTTTCTACTTTCCTACCCCAGATTATCAAAGGACTGAATGATAACTAGGTGGTATTAAAGAGTTATCGTTTTTAACTGAACATAGTGGTCACCTGAATTTAAGTTGTCCAGATGCAGCCACTGCATGTTGTTGAACTCAAAAAAGACTGGTGTGAGAGACATGCACAGCTGTGGACTGATTTTGGATATATCCACATAATTTTCCCAAAATTGTTACTGTCCTGTCAGCTTATTGCTGCTTAGTGGCAGCAAGAGCTTATCATCTTTGTCTCTCTTGACTGCCATGCAGTGGTAATCAAGATTTGTGCAACTGAGATGCAGCCACTGATTAAGTGTGGTTGAAGAGATGGAACAATCACTTCAATGGGTGTTATCTCTAATCACAGCATAAAGCTCTGGGCATCCAAAAGAGTAGGAGATGGGAAAAATTTGGTTGAATGTGGCTGAATGGTGAACTCATATCTGCACCACTGACTGAACTGAAGAGCGAAGGCTTTCTTGAGAGCAAGAGACCCTGGGAATTCCTCTACCCAGCACAAGAGCGGAGACCTTTCAATTACACTTTTAACTACACCTGCTAAGCCAAGAATCAGCTAGTCAGTTTCATGGCTTTGTACTCTCTAGGGCTACTGATCCACTTGTTGTTGTTTAGTCATTAAGTCGTGTCCGACTCTTCGTGACCCCATGAACCATATTG